AGTAACGACGATGACCAAAGACTGCATCAGTGAACAGTGGTGTCCCAGCTGCAGTTAGAAGAGCACGATAAGACCTAGCCAAAAGTGTGGAATACAATGGACTTTTGAAATTGGTGATGAATTCAGAGCTGAAAGTCCCTGGGAAGTCACCAAAGACTCTTTGTAGTGTATGTTATATCCTCTAGAGAGAGGGGGCTTTTTGTTAGCTGTTGCCAGTTCCAGTGGTGGTGGCCCAGGTCTAACTTGTCTCTAAAGCAAGCCTAGAGATACCCACAGTCTGGTGAAACCCTTTAACAGAATTGGTGACCCAGATGGGACTCTAGGAGACAAGAGGGAAGAGTCAGATATTCCTCTGGATAAAGCCGTTACCAATACTCGGATTGCCGGCAAAGCAATAAGAGGTGAGTCCACCTAAGAGACTTGGGCACGGGTAATTCCAGACAGGATTATGTTGGAGAACGGCTTGCAGAGAGCAGCGCCATAGCTCTCTGCAGGAGCTGGTCGGCCATTTCTCGCTGCAGAAGTTGGTCACAGCCACCTGAGGTAAACAGAGGAAAAAACCCAGGGTACAGTTCTGCTAGCAAGGAAGGAGATTCAAGGCTCAGTGATGCTAAGAAGGACTGTTATGAGAACAAAGAGATAAGTTGGGGGTGCATTATGACCTTGGGGGTGAAAAAAAAATAGCCCTGGGAGAGAAACAGGTTCAAAGCAAGAAAAATGTTTATGCATACCAGAAATGCCACAAGGGACTGGGATATTACAGTGTGACCTTTTCGATGTACCCAATGGCTGAGCTATTATAATATAGCTTTTTTAATGTATCCAATAGAGTTACAAGTAGTGCGTTGTAGAGTCCGACCAGCTCCTGCAGAGAGCTATGGCCTTGCTCTCTGCAAGCCGTTCTCCAACAGGATTATACTGGGAAACTCTTGTGTTTAAATTTGCAAAGAGAGAGATAAAAGAAATCTATAGAAGATGGGGCCAGTACTCTGTGCTGAAAGGGGGACGCCCTTGTTCAAGGCTGAGAACCCAGGTATTTGGCCTTGTTAGAAACTCCCTTGGTTTCCCCCCCGAGGTTCAGGCTGCCCGCTCTCCTGCTGGAGCCGAAGGCTGGGGGAGGGCAAGCGCTCCTGAGAAGCGCTGGGAATGAAAAGATGGGGACACATCCACACTTCGTAAGACAAAGTCTTCCTTGGTAAGACTTCCTCAGTAAACCCTTCCTTAGCAAGTCTCAGAGAGAGCCTGCTTCAGGAGAGTGAAAAAAAGAGTTCACAAAGAGTGAAGGAAGTGCCAGTGTGGACCCATCCCTAGAAGAAAAATCCCAACGATTTTCGAACTTAACAGGATATTAAATGAAGTGATTTAAAATGCCGGGGTCACAGCAGCGCCCTGCAGCACCTCCACCAGCGATGGGGATGCGGAGCAGCAGGTGCAGGGCTGTGAAGAGCTGGGTCTGAAGCCTCCCCGAGGGAAATCTCACGCCTGTTTTAGCATTGCACGACCCACCCCTGCCCGCCATCCGGACTGAACCCCTTCAGTCGCCGTTTGTGCCCTTGTATCATCTGTCACTAATGGGAAGACCTTAGTCCCATCACCGTGGGAGCTCAGGCACGTGTAGGCAGGCTGCTGTCGAACCCCTCATGGCCTTGCCTGCATCAGCATGCAGCAGACTTCCACATCTGCTCACCATAGTAGCAGTGTTTCAGGGAAAAGAAAACATGCTAGGACACCTATAAAGTGCAATTAATTCATATTAATTCAGAACATTAATTCATAAATCCTATATTGTTACCATGTAATCAGTTTCACACTCCTGCCACCTCGAGTCTAAACTTTCAGCTTTGCTCTTCTTATGTGAGCATGATAAAGTAATAGGATGCTTCAATAATGATGTTTCAAGACCTAAGTACAAGTTAAAAATATCCAATACATATTTACCAAGGGACAGAGTTAAAGGCTGAAGGAAAATAAAAGTACAAAACAAGAATATGAAAACCCAAAGCTATACAGGAAAAAAACTCAGAAAACACGTGAAGGGATTATGCTGAGGCCTCTAACAGATGTGATGAATTCTAGTACGACTAGCTGCAACAAGAAGTTGAAAATCCTACCTTAAAGGGCTTGTTTAATTTAAAGAACAGAAATTACATCAGTTAGCCTTTCTAAAATACTGGTATAAATCCCCTCAATCTTTTGAGCTGGACATGGGAAACACTGGTGAAACTTTTGACTTAGATTCTACAAGAGATCATTTTACTTTGAAATCTTAAATTGACTCTAAGTGGACTTTTGAAGGCTCAATTCTAAAAGGTTAGGTGCATCAGGTAGAGTTAACAATATTCTGAGTGAGCAAAACAAGAAGCTGATTACTGAGAATGTTTTCAATGGAGAACAATCATCATGGCATGAAATAATTAAAACCATCAGAAATACTGTAGGCAACTTGCAAACATTATGCTTCTGACTGTATTGAGAAACAGAACTGCTAGTTAACGTACTGTTGAGAGACATGATTTAATAATCATTAAGCATTCCTGAAGTTTTGATGCAATTGCCTTAATTCAGTGTAGAAAAGTAGTATATTAAAACTTTAACCTAAGTCCATTTAATGTATTTTCCCTTTAATTAGTTATTCCTTCGAAGAACCCAAGGACCTTTAAAAAAAAAAAATGCTTTCTTCATCACCAACTAATGAATCATCTGAGTATCAGTTTCCTGTTTTTCCTTGGAGTGCAAATTTACAGTCATTGGTTTGGTTTTTTCTGTAATGCCCAATCAGCCTACATTCATTCACCCATACTATGGTATTTAGGCTTACAAGAAAAGCTGTAATATGTAAAGGATTCCAAGGGGAAGAACTGAACATTGATATTGGGTGATCGTTTCAGTTTCTCACTAAATGAATAAAGTTGCTTTAAATGAAAAACTTCAATATTGTTATATCTTAATACAGTCAGATTTTATGTTTACATGCAAGCTAAATTAAGTTATCTTGAAATCAATAGAAAATACAATAGACTAAGAGAAAGAGTAATGGCAACCCTTTAAAAGCTGGATGTAAAATAAGTGAGCTGTGTTGTACATGATCATGATGGATTCTTGACAAGCTTACTGCTGCTTAGCTACTGTTAAGATTTTTTTTGCAAGTTCATTTGGAAAAATTATCAATAC